ATTCTATGTTTTAATTATTATATTTTACTAAAAACAATTCAACAAAGTACTGATGTCTATAACAACAAATAGTTCAGAACCCGAGTCTTAATATTCCAAGTCGAAGTTATAAGTCAATTTGGTCCATTGAATTGAGTCTCGATTAGGTTTATTAAAGTTCAAGTCAGATTCAAAAACGATATGCAAGAGAATATTCAGATAAGTAAATAGTTTATTTGAGTATAAATGAAACAATTATTTAGGGATAGAATGGTAGTCTTTATTAATCATAGAATAGAACTAATAAATTCTAATCCTCTACCGCTTTGAATTACAGGTCTTTAAATACATTTTATTTTTCAGAAACATATATACTACAATTTTGGTGTTTACACTAAAATTATAATGTGAACGTGAAAATTAGAGTATATATACCACAAAAATAACACACACACTAAAAAATCCTAGAGCACAGACTTTGTGTAATCACATATACGCGATTTTTTCGGTGTTTACATGATTCATCTGATTTTCATGTAGCCATGTCACTAAACCACCCATCATTACTATTTTAGTATAAGTGATGAATTATTTAAAAGAAAATTAATAAATTTGCCTAAATTGGACATTATTACTAAAATGGATAGGGAATTTCAAATAGACTATATATATGCGGATATTTCACCGCGAAAATAAAAGATTTATTTACAATAATAGAATAAAAAAAAATAAAGTTTTTAATTCGTTACAATATCTATGAGCTAATGTTGATTTACCTGTACCTAATAGACTACAGATAATCTTATTTTTGTATTCTGGATCTATATAAACATCTTGTATTAATTTTGTTCCTTCATAATATTGTTTTGATAAAAACTCAATTCCATTAAGTGAACCTTTAGCTTCACCTTCGGTTCTTAAGCTAATTCCTCTTTTTGCAAAATAGTCGACTATTGCATCGGCATTCCATTTATCATTAAAACAGTTACTACTTAGGATATTGTCATCTCTGTAGGCTGTTATATAATTATATTTAAAAAAATCGGCTGCAGGAAAACCAGTAATTTGTGTCCAAGCCTCAACAAAAAGAGTTAAACAATAAATAGTATTATCGGGGCTCACAGTACTCTGACCAGTACTATGTCTTTGATGTTTCATACGAACTTCACCAGAATATAGATTAGGATGATTCATATAACCCTTTTTCCTAATAGTTTTTAACATTCTTAGGTAAGGGTAAGTCATAGTTGAATCCATTGCTGTTATATCCATAGAAATGTGGTATTTATATTGACAATGTATTTCAAAAATTTTTGGTGGCATTGTATGTGTGCTGCTCATACCAATAGCGCAACTATCCATTGAATCAAATTTTTATTTTGTTTACCATTAACTAATATTCCACTATAATAAGTAAGTGGATCTTGTGCAATAATAGATCTTATTTTCTCTTCTAATTCAACTTTGGATCTTTTAAGAACTTTATCTTTAAGAAACACATGTGATACTGAAGGGATCACTGTATTACCTTCTAAATATTGATAAAATTTTATCTAGAAAGACACGACGCCTGCCTATCTTATGTACAAATTTATATCTCGAGAGGGTTTCACCTTCTAAAAATCGATAAGGGAAGTCCCATAAATATGCCAAGTGCTATTTGCTCAAGGTCTCTTCTGGACTTATGAGTGTACTGTTACCTAATATTGGAAACAATTGTTGAAAAACTGCTTCACAAATTTCTTCTTCTTTTTGTTTCTCTAAATCATTAACTTTTAAGTTAGTAAAATATCGTTCATTACTCTTGTCAACCATCTTAACAGTACCCAAATGCCTTGTGAATATCCCTTCAGGATGAGGGTATTCTTTTTTAAAACGATTAATTAAATCTGCTATTATTTTATCTATTTCACGAATAAATTTTCTTATTGGTATAGTGATACCTATATTATATAATTCATTTTTAACGCGTTTGATATCTAGATCAATTGGAACCTTAAACATATCAATATAATACTTTTCAATCTCTTTAAGATCCACAATTAATTTTTTATTATCAGGTATATTAATTTTATGATTAATTAATCGATATATCGTTTTACTAGTTATTAAAACATTATGATATTTAACAAAATTAATCATTGGATACCAAACAGTTTTAATACCTTCTCTATATTTTGTATAGACGGTTTCTACATCGTCTAGAAAATGTATATCAGTAAAAAAATTATATAAATTAGATTTTGCACTCCTAGCCTTTTTGAATTTTGGTAATTTATAATTAACTTTTGGATAAATACCCTCAACTATTTTCAACAAATCTTCAACTTGATGTTCACTAGCTGCAATGGTTTCATATTCAGGTTTAAAATAAAAATCTATATATCCACGAATAGTTCTTTCTTCTGGTGGTAATAAAAGGTTATAACCAGGAATAAATTCATAAGACACGATTTTACCTGTCATATAAATTGATAAAAATTGGATAAATATTATACAATTAATACCTAACATTTTGTAGGGCATATTCTCAAAAATATCTTGTAACATTTTTAGTTGTGGGTACCTGTAAACTTCTTTTGGGTCTATATGTACACAACTTGAATAATTATTAGGTGGTAAATGATCATGAACTAATATTCTTATATTACCTTGTCGTTGGACTAGTTCATAAAATTCATCTCCCATTTGAAAAAGAGCATAAGAGAATTGAATATATTTGCCAAGGTTTTGTCCAAATTTAGGGCCAACAGGTTTAAAGTAAACATAATAACCTTCAACCATATTAATTACAGCATTATCTCTTTCTTGAATTTTAATTGGATGAACTGTAAGTCTAGGTAGTTCTTTATAATCTATATTGATTTTTGCTAGAATACTACATAGAGCATCTATTAGTATTAATGATACCTTTGGATAGAAAATCTTTTTGATATACCAGGAACAGAGTACAAAGTATGTAGAGTATGGTTTACAGGCAAGTTAAGTGGAGTGTATAATTATAAGCATTTGATTAGACAAAAATGCCTTGTGATTTTGGATAGCACCCCAAACAACGCTAAAAAAAAATGCTATCTGGAATATACTTACGTACATACGTGCCAGGAATGGAGTATTTAAAGATCATCCAATCAAATAACTTGGCATTATTATGTATTCAACTCGTGATCTGATTTTAACAAGTTTTT